TACGTGTAGTGGATCATCAGGAATCCAAATAAACATTCGAATACCATTAGATATATTTAAACAAGCATAAATTATAATTTTTCAATCAGGTGTCTTCAAGGGCTGCTGTTGAAACCCTGCAGCATCAGAGATGGTGAGTAGCGGGAGGCGCTGCTGTAGGCGTTGGGCTGGGGCTATACAGGAGGCATGAGTTTGTGTGAGCTGAAGGAGGTGCTGAGATTAAAACAAAAGTAAAAATGAAGGCAAACAAATTCATCTGAGTTTGTTGTATTTATTGTAGTATTTACTTCCCTGCATGGGGCAACAAACAACAAGCAGCTAACAAGGATCGCTCGCCACTGAGGAAGGGGAAGAGCCCTTTCTGCTGCTCCTGCTGCTGCGGCGGCTGCGGCTGCTGCTGCCTTCTCTGCTGTGCATCGGCTCTTGTTCAACAACTGCACAGCTGTCGAAACAGCAAGAACAGCAGCAGTGTACACGATCCCGATCCCGTCTCCCGCCCCACACATCAGCCGCTCCCAACACCCCCATACCTCCACAAAAACAACATCTGTGCCTCTTCATCTTTATCTCTCCTCAGCCGCTTAGGGGTGTCTGTACAGTTGCGGCGTTTCGCGACAAGGTGAGCGGGGATCTGCAGCACTGCCGGATCTTCGCAGCAAACTCGCCAGCAGCAGCAACAGCAACAGCAGCAGCAGCAACAGCACTTGATCTGCAGCATCAGCAGCACTTGACCTGCAGCCCGCGCCACTGCTGTAATGCGCGCTGCCGGTGGTGTGAAGGGGGTACATACACCTCAGGGCCTCGAGCGCTTGCACAGAGGTGCAGAGTAGAGGGGCCCCCTTCTCGTTTGTGTGCTGTGGAGGAAGCAGCATGGGCCCTCCCATCTGTCTGGGGGGCCTCTGGGCTCCGTTATTGCAGCTACGTTTTCGTTTGTTGCTGTTGGTGCTGCTGCTGCTGCTCCTGAGCTGTCTGCTGGGTTCTTGCGACGCTCGCTCACGGCAGCAGCAGAATGTGGGTTCGAATTCCAGAGGGAGCAGCAAGACAGAGGAGACAGAGGCAGAGGTAGCTCAGGAGGATTATGCAGATTATACTGTAGGCACAGAGTGGTTTAAAGGGGGCGGCCTAGACCGCCGCGGTAACAGGGCGGGGGCCCGGGGTCGGGGGGCCCCTGGTGCNACATTTCGTTTGTCTCGATTGGGGTTTGCATCTCTCATGGCTATGTTTGCTGCTGTGTTGCTAGCTCGAAAGGCTCTACAAGAAGAGAAACGTCTATCAAGAGAGGAAGCAACACTGGAGGCAGAGCTTGATCAGCAGGATGATACAGCAGCAACAAGAAACAGATTCAAACAAGCAGAAGAACGTGAGTTGTTTTCACAGCAGGTAATTCGAGAGGAGATGCAGCTGATGGAGCAGGAACAGGAGCATGAAGAGCATCAGATGCAGCAGCTGCAGAGACGAATTAAAATAGCAAGAGATAGATATGCACAAGCTCTTATCCCCCCTGATGCAAAGATGACACAGCAGCTGAGAGAAGCAAAAGCAAGGCTAATAGAAGCAAGAAAAGATCATAGTGAAGCTCAGATTTCTCTTGAGGCTTATTATAAAGTACATGATATGCCGCCAGCAGAACTAAAGAATCTCCTTAATACTCTACAAGAAGAATTAAGAGAGACAGAACGTGCTGCTGCTCGTCTTGATCTCTGTCTTAGTAGCAGCAGAGAAGCAAAGACAGTACAAGATATGGTGCAAGCAAAGCAAGTAATGCTGCATGCACTGGAAAAAGAAATAGAAATAGTAGAAGATGAAGTCCTTGAAGGAGAAGAAGGAAATAAAGCAGTTAAAGAGTTACAAGAAGAAGAAGAAGCAGCAATTGCTGAAGATATGCTCGAGCTCAAAGAGATTCAAGAGGAGCTAGAAGAACACAAAACAAAAACTATAGAAGCAATACAACAGCGGCTAAAAGATAAAGAAAAAATAAATGAAGAAATAGAACAAGCGGAAGAAATGCTTCAACAGGGAGTAGAAGAGTTAGTTAAACTCGAAAATTCTCCTCAGGTATTCAAAAGAAAAGAATTGCTGTTAAAAAAGGCAGCAGAGCTTCAGCAGCAGTTTACAAAGGAGTTGCGCGAGCTCCTTTTAGGGGGACAGGAGCCTGCAGAAGGAGAAGAAGATGTGTGGGGGGTTGAAGAGAAAGACCCTACAGCTAGTTTTACACCTGAAGAGGCGGAGCTGCTAGAGACTAAGCAGCTGCTGCGTCGACTAAGGAAAGAGAAAGAAGAAATTGAATTAGAACTAGAAACACTTAGTGATTTAAAAGAAAGAGCACAAGTTGCAAGAGCAATTCATAATCTCTTTATTGCTCAAGCAGATGCTGCTGTTGATGACCTTGTAGACCTCAAGGAAGATCCAGCGCAAGATGAGGAATTAAGTGAATTTGCGCAGTTTCTCGCAGAAAAGATGAGGGAAAGACAAATGGCGAGTAGCGCTGCTGCTACTGGTGCTGACGGTGCTGCTGCTGCAGCAGATGGCGGTGGTGATGAGGCTGCGACAGCTGCTGCAGGTCAGGGTGAAGAAAACGTGAAAAAAGAAGAAGAAAAGGAAAATGAGGAGAAAAAGGAGGAGGAGAAGGAGGGTGAGAAAGATGGGGATAAGAAAGAAGATGATAAGGAAGGGGAGAAAGCTGAAACAGCTGCAACTGCTGAGGGTGGAGAGGAGAAGGCGGAGAAGAAGGAGGAGGAGGAGAAGAAGGAGGGGGAGGAGAAGAAGGAGGATGAGAAGAAGGAGGATGAGAAGAATGGGGAAGAGAAAGATGGGGGTAAGGAAAAAGATGAAAATGTGGAGGAGAAGAAAGAAGTGGGGGAGGGGGAGAAGAAAGAGGAGAAAAAGGAAGAGGGGGAGGGGGATAAGGAAAAAGATGAAAAGGTGGAGGAGAAGAAAGAAATGGGGGAGGGGGAGAAGAAAGAGGAGAAAAAGGAGGAGGAGGAGAAGAAGGACGAGGAAAAGGGAGACGGGGAGGGAGGAAAGGAGGAGGATGACAAGGACGAAGGTGTGCGTCTTGCTGAGGAAGCGATTGAGCTGGCGCGGCATCGATTGAAAGACAAAGGAGAGAGAAGGGAGACATTGAAGCTGCAGCTGCAGCAGGTGGAAGCGAAGATAGCGAAGGCAGAAGCATTGCTGCAGGAAAGGCAGCAGCGTGTGAATATGCTGAAGTCGGTTGTTGCCGATCAAATCACCAATGCAGCAGGATATGGGATAGCGGTAGCAGATATAACAGCACAGAGATTGCGTCAGCTAGAGAGAGCATTGAAGCGTCTTACGAAGCACGCAGATCGGGTGCATAAGGACGCAGAGAGAGCAATTGAAATACATCCGGAGGAGGCGGACCAGCATCTGCTGCTGGTGCAGATTGCTGATGATGGAATCCTTGTAGGGATAAAGCGATTGTTTGATGAACTGCTTCGCATGCGTCTAGCAGAAAGAACAGCTACCGACAACATATGGATGGCAAGACAGAAGGAGGCTCTTCTTGCTCCTGGTGTATTTCGGGAGCTGCTGCAGCATGCAGTAGCAGATGGGCCTACATGTTCTGAGCAACAGCAGCTACAAGCAGCATTGAAGCAGCGGGTGCAGGAAGAGACACAGAACCTAGAGAAGGATCTGGAGTTATCCGAGTCGTTCGTTCAAGGGGTGCACAAGTGGCTAAAGGAGATAAAAAAGGCAGAAAAAGTAGATTTTTTGAATATACGTTCACAACACATGGAGGCCCTTACTTCGCTGCTCAGGGAGCAGGCGAACCAGGCCTTCTGTCAGCAGCGATTAAAGACATTGAGGAAACAAACGGATAGCGTCATAGAGGAGGCTGTGCAGGATCTCTTTACTGCAGCGCTACGCGAGAGACAGCAGCGCGAGACATTCTATGGAGACACAAAGCAGACAGCTGATGCGATTCATTTTGCCCATAAATCAGCCATCACAGAAGAAGCGAGGAGACTGCGAGGATTAGATCGCATGGCTAAAGATTTAGCGAGGAAATATGCTCCTCTTGAGGCCGCTGCGCTGCTTCCTCCTCTCGGTAAACGAAAGGAAAAGAAATATACTTATTTCCCCGAGGGGAGCGCAAAAAGATTCGCAGGGGAGCCAGTTACAGAGAGACCCGAACCCACATCTACTACTAAGCTTATGGGTGGATATGTAGGAGAATCACACGAAGGAGTGCTTCAACTCAGCAGAAAAGGTAAAGGAAGCAAGAAACAGGCACCGAACAAACCCTGATATCCATCATACACATCTCGGCCGGTCACAACCCCACCACAGAAAAACATGTCCACTCCAGGACATGCACGCAAAGGCGCACTCAAGCAGGGGCCCCCCTCTGGCTAACGGCTCACCTGCAGGCCACGATTCGCCTGGGGACTGTCTCCTTAGTGACTGTCTTTGGGGACTATCCTCTTGGATGCTGTCTCCGTGGGGACAGTCTCATTTAAGCATATATCCGTAGAGGCTGTCTCCGTAGAGGCCGTCTCTCTGGTGACTGTCTCCTTTGGAGCAGTCTCCTTCTGCCTTGCACAGCACATTCTGAAGAGCCTTGCATGCAAATGCATGCGGGACCTTGTCCCCTATTGTCGCGGAATCCTGCATCCACTCTCTACGGTCTCTGAGGGACTGGAGAGAGCAAGCGAGCCACAATATTTTCCCCACGCTGTGGGTATCGATCCCACACCTTTCGGGATCGATCCCACATTGTGGGAATCGATTCCCACAGCATGGGGCCTCGCAGCTAGCAGACTTTGAAGGCCGGCGGTGTGGGGCCCGCATGCCTGGCGTACTTTGGATTTTATCGAGTGTTGCATTGTAGGGTGTATCCTGTCTCCTCTTGCTGCCTTCTGCTGTTCCTTAGGGCCTCTCTCTGAGGGTATACATTATATGATTTGTTGGGAGGCTGCTAAACGCACAGAAAAAACAGGGACCCCAACAAACGACAACTCCAGCCAACTGATGCATACATGCATCCATGCATGCGTCCATCCATGCATGCATGCATACAGGTGGGGTGTAATCTCTGTCAAAATGAGGGTATATAGGCGTGTAAGGAATACAAAGAGTTTACAGAGTAATCGGAGTTTAGGGTTTACTGTTTAGGCTAAGTGATCGGAGCNGTAAGGAATACAAAGAGTTTACAGAGTAATCGGAGTTTAGGGTTTACTGTTTAGGCTAAGTGATCGGAGCTTAGGGTTTATGGCTTAGGTTTTGGATTTCTGAGGTTTGAAGGCCGCAAAGAATTAGAAGGTTGTACAGGATCTATAAAAACGGAAAGCGCCTTGGGTGGCGTTCAAGCAGAGATAAAGGGTTCAGTTAGTGTGGAGTTTATAAGCACAGAAGGGGTTTAGTGGCGAATGGAGATGGGATGCAGGAAGGCTAAAGAGGCTTAAGCAGACTAAGGTTGTGGGAGTTGAATTTGCCTTGGGAATGTATAATTGCCAGCAACCCAAGTCTCCCTAGCCAGCCACGCACAAGAAAAGAGGTAACGCGCAGATGCGAAATGACATAATGGAAACAATTGAGAAAGACTGATGATAACTGAACACTAATTAGATCATCTCTATCCTTATAAATCCCACACTCTTTATATATTTAAAAGCCCCACAGAAATTGGGCGCTTTCCATATTTATAAACCCTACACAAATTAAACAGTTTATGTACTTCGTGCGAAAGGGCTGGGGTGCACCCGTTCTCTAGGCAACGATCACTACTTAAAAAGGCCCAGTGAAAGTCTTCAGCTGCAGCACAGTAAGCGGCACCGGCGCCTATAGAATGCAGGGTGACCAGACACTTTGTGAACTGAAGAATGCTCGGGTGGCAGTGGTGTTCACACGCATCGTCATGAATTGGTACATAGACGGCGTTCAGTTGAATGAAGTGCTTAAGCATGCAGTGGTAGGAATGTTCATTCAAATTCACGTTGTGTTTTTCACTGATTCGAGTGAAATTCGTCCAACGCATTGCCTCGTCACCCCTTTTCCTATAGGCGGCGCTCAGTTGCACGATGTTCACTCGAATCAGTAAACACATCGCCTCCCCCTTATTCTACCGGCGGCGTTTGGCGAGTCTGCATAAAGGCTGTACAGATACTTCTGATACAACTACTACTCCCACGCATATACGGCTTGCATCGATTCATTCAGAATTTCACTCATTTCATACTCAGTGAGCGTCCAAAACTTCGGCATCGTTTCAAGACCGCTATTGGTGTTGATGGATGCATTGCTGGCCTGCGTGTGTTCCCAGAAATGCATCCATCAACACCAATCGTGGTCTTGAGCACTGCAAATTCATTTTACGGAGGCATTTGACAGCCTCGCCGTGGGAATATCCCTTGCGTTCACCTACTATTTTTAATGCATGCTGCACTATTGAGAGCACTGCAAAGCAACCCACAAGGACAGGCATTTCCACAGAGCATTGCAAAGCAGCATACGTGGACAGGCATTTGACACACTTTAAGAATGTTATACTCATGGCATGTTCATGCTAGTTTGGGAATCGCAGGTGCGCAGATGCGCATGGCATACACATTTAGTGAAGAGGTATTATTGGCAGCGTTAGGAAAGTCATGCACCGACTGCTTAGACATTAATTTTTGTATGCTTGCTGTGTGTTCCTTTTCTGGTCCGGCTCTTGTTCCGAGACGCTGCTGTCTCTGTCGGTGCCATTGCTGAAGCAGATGCTGATGAGTCACGGCAACACTTGCTGTATCTAAAGCAAACGCATGCCCTCTGTAGCGTGTTCTACCTACATACAGAGGTAAAGCATGCAGAAAGGGAAGCTTCCTTGGAGCTTCTTTGTGTGCATACGTGTGGCTTCCTTGCATCATACGAATATCCTTCGTCTATGTACACTTCATGTTCGTGATTTACACGGTATTCTTTCAGAAACGACCTTTCTTGTTTCCTGTTTCGGGATTTAACGCTCTATATGATTCCAGCAAACCTGGACTCGCCCTCCTGGACCCCCGGGTATTACAGGTGGGTGTCTGCTTCTGCTTCAAG